GCGGCACGCAGGTAGTCAGATAGAGGGGGGGGAGCAACGACAAGGGAGGACGGAGGGGGCGACGGACACGCGCAGCGACAAGCCATGGGATAAGAACGGCAGGCACGTCGGCCTTCCGCTCCAGGGGGAACACAGTGGTGTAGCGCGTGTAGTCGTCAACAAGCACTAGGAAGTAGCGCTCTCGACGCGGCCCATGGACGGGGGCGGGGCCCCAGACGTCCATTTGCAGAGTCTGTAGCGGTGCGGCGGTAGGGGGAAACGAGGAGGAGTGAGGAGCACGACGAAGCCGGCCCTCGACACAAGTCATGCAAGGTGGGGCAGGGGAGGAGGGAAACTCAGAGAACGACCCAGGAGGCCTAGGACGAGACCGTGCTGTCACATGTGACGCAGACGCGGGAGCGCAGGTTGACCTAGACGGTGGTGCCATAGGAGAGTCGGGTGGGTGAGTGACCGAGAGGAGCAGGCAGCAGCAACCTGGGTAGACACAGCCACCTGAGGGGGGGTCCCAGCTGGGGGGGTCACAGTGTCCAGTGTGAACAATCCGGACACAGGGTCCCGGGGGAACGTGGTAAGGGCGGCACCAGTGGCGGCGTCGGTACAGACAGCGTACCGCTCGTGACCAGGGAACGTAGTGGTGACGCCAAGGTCCTGGAGGCAACCGACACCAACTAGGTTCCTGGAGAATGAGGGGATGTGCAGGCCTGTGAGAGAGCCTGAAGGAACCCCCGGGCAGGGGAGGCTGGTGGAATTGCGGGCGACTACAGGGCCAGAGGAGGGGTCAGCCAAGGAGACGGCGGCAGGGACAAGAAGCGGTGTCAACGTGGTGGAGTCGCGGAAGAAGCACCGGGAAGCGCCAGAGTTGAGGGTGAAGGAGAGCGCGGCAGTGGCGAAGTAGCGACGGAAGCACCAAGGCTAAACAAAGCAGGGGATCCTACGCCTGTCGCAGCAGGGGAGTCTAAGGAAGGCACACCTACACTAGGCAACAAGGGGTAATAAGACGGAAGCACACTAGAGTTGTCAGCATACATCACATGCAGAGCAGCAACAATCTCATCCATGTCCAGATCAAAAATCTGAACCCTACGACTAAGCAAGCTGTGCCAGTCTGGGAACTCGGGCGACGGGCCGAAACGCTGACGAAACAGGTCATCCAGGCGACGGAAACAGCGGACGGAGGTATGACCTATCTTACCGCAAACGAAGCCACGGCGAGGACTGGTCTGAAGCAAGTACTGACAACGCGCGGCACCCGAACCACCACTTGGCAGCCCACCACGCGCACCACCACCACGTCCAGCGCTGCCACCAGCGCCGGGCCACCCAGGCGGAAGAGGACTCGTCCGCCTCCGCTGCTGTTGCGACTGCTGCGGCTGTGGCGACGGCTGCAGCTGCGGCTGCTGCGGCTGGCGCGGGTCCGGCGGCAACACCGGCGACTGCTGAGACGACTGCTCGGCTGCACCTGTCAGGGTCCCCGCGTCAGCACCACCACTAGGTGACCCAACTCCAGCACCACCTACACCCGCACCCCCACCCCCGTCGCCACGTCCAGCCTTGGGGCGGCGACCCTTCCCCGGACGAACCTGTGCGGCAGCGGCAGTCTCAGCCACAGCAGCAGAACCGTCGGAGAAGGTGCACTGAGGGGGGGCACAACCCTGAAAGATAGGGACCAGCACAGTACCGCTGGTCTGAGCGATAGAGCACTGGCGGGCCTCTATAGTGGACAGGGTGTCAACAAAGTCAGTGAGGGTAAGGTCTGCGGGGTGGGCGCTAAGAAAGCGGTCAAGGGCAGTGGCAAGACGGTCAGGGAGGTGGGTGGCTAGCAGGTAGAGAGTAGAGGTGAGGGGCGGCTGGTGGGCTAGAAGCTGTGTGGGGGTGCAGGCAGCACGCCAGGTCTCGTCTATGGTGCGCAGGTGAGCGGCCAGGTCGGCGACAGTGGGGAACGATGCAAGGTCAGGAAAGAGCATGGGGAGGATCAGACGACCGACCGAGGCAGCAGGCGGGGTGGAATAGCGCTGGACAACAGCATCTAGGAAAGCCTGGGCAGTGGTGATAGACCTGAAGCGAGGTCGCTCGGACAGGGGGAGGGCATTGCTAATAGCAAGCTGTGCAACAGCGTCACGGGACAGCCAGACAGAGCGAGCAAGGGCAGCGGCTGCAGCGGACTCACGCTCAGCGGACGAGGGGTCAGGAGACAGTGCAGCGGGGGGGTCAGGGCAGGGGAGGGTACCATCAAGATGGACAGACAGCGAGTGGCCATCCTGCCGCTGACCAGTGAGATGGCGACGGAGGTCAGCAAGCCACACATCAAACTCAATCGGCTGACCCTCAGCGTCAAAGCAAAGCACCGCCGCCATGAGTGACAATAGAGGGCAGTGTAGAGCAGGACAGTGCGGTGTAGTGCTGTGCAGGGCGATGCAGTGCGGCACAATGCTGTGTAGTGCATTGCAGTGCGGTGCAGTGCGGTACACTGCGGTATAGTGCGGTGCAGTGCGGTACAAAGCGGTGCAATGCGGTACAGAGCTGTACATTGTGGTGCAATGCAGTGCAGTGCGGTACAAAGCGGTGCAGTGCGGTGCAAAGCAATGCAGTACGGTACCGGGGGGGGGTTCGGAGGGCGGTGCTGATCGGGAAGAACGGGCCGAACCCGAGGCAGCGGCGGGCCGGTGACGGCGCGAATGCAGGGGCCGGCCGGCGGGCGGCAAGTAGACACGGCCGCGACGGCGGCCAGGGACAGCCGCGACGACAGCCAGGGGCAGCCGCGACGGCGGCCAGGGACAGCCGCGACGGCGGCAAGGGGCGGCCGCGACGGCAGGAGCGATCGTGAGGCAGCTGGAGACGGCAGCGGCGGCGGCTAGGGGCAGCCACGACGGCGAGGGGCGGCCGGGACGACTAGGGGCGGCCGAGGGACGGCAGGAAGCAGCCGCGACGGCTAGGGGCGGGCTCAAACGGCCAGGGGGCCTGCGAGGAGCGGGCGCGAAACGGCCAGGGCGCCAGCTAGGAGGGGCTCGACGGCCAGGGGGCCGGCTAGGGACGGGTGCGAACGGCCAGGGGGCCAGCTAGGGGCGAGTGCGACGGTCAGGGGGGCCGGCTAAGAGCGATCGCGACGGCCAGGGGGCCGGCTAGGGGCGAGCGCGACGGTCAGGGGGGCCGGCTAGGAGCGATCGCGACGGGCAGGGGGCCGGCTAGGAGTGGGCGCGACGACCAGGAGGCTAGCTAGAGACGGGCGCGAACGGTCAGGGGTCGGCTAGGGACGGGCGCGACGGTCAGGGGGGCAGCTAGGAGCGATCGCGGCGGTCAGGGGGCCGGCTAGGAGCGGGCGCGACGGCCAGGGAGCTAGCTAGTGACGGGCGTGACGGCCAGGGGGGCGGCTAGGGACGAGCGCGACGGCCAGGGGCCGGCTAGGGACAGGCACGAACGACCAGGGGGCCGGCTAGGGACGAGCGCGAACGGCCAGGGGGCCGGCTAGGGACGGGCGCGAACGGCCAGGGGGCCGGCTAGGGACGGGCGCGAACGGCCAGGGGGCCGGCTAGGGACGAGCGCGACGGCCAGGGGGCCGGCTAGGAACGTAGGGGCGGAAGCGTGAGCGGGCTAGGGGGGGATCTAACCTACTATGATACCATATCAGAAAGAAAATGATTAAACCAGAATGTGTGTGTACAAGGATATATAAACTAGGGTGTTGTACCCTCTAAGGCACAATCTAGTATAGTCTACAGTAACAACCTAAGTTACATTTGACATTTTATGGCATGTTCGTTTGGGCTCGCAATGTTTCGCTACGTGCAGTTTTGGCGCACCTATTTTTGACTGCTAGACGCGTGTTCATGCGGTTGATTACACTAACATATGCTTCTGCGTGCCAGGCAGACTTGTACCTTCTAGGCGACACAGGGTAGCAGCACCCTCAAGTTTTGTACAAGAAGTTGTGCACGTTCAAGATGTTTCATGTCAAGAGTTGCAGGACTTACAAAACTTCTCTCTTATTTAGTCCCATGGTTTTTGCACTCTACTTGAGCCTGTAAGCAGGAAACGGTCAAACCCGGGCAATGGGGACATTAAAGGGGACTTAAAGTCACTTGGTTACATATTCTCGCTTATGCATTAGAGTAGATGCCTGTGCGATCTCCCAGCTCTGAAACTTGCAATTGTCAAAATCCGACTTTGAGTGTTAGCTATCGTTCGGGCAGCCAATCAGGTTCGGTGTCAACGAGTGTCATGCTGAGAGCCTGGTGGGTGGGTGAGACCCCAAAAAAAAAAACAAGAGGCGACGAGATCGTCTTAGGGTTGCGAAGCATTTCATGATGAGACTTTACTATACATAAAATATTTTATTTCCATCACAAAAAGCATTTAATTTTTATTTCACAAACTTGAAAAAAAAACCAGCCTGATCGATTGCAATTGGTTGCTCCGCAACCCAAAAAAAAAAAAGGAAAAAAAAAGGTGTACTTCAATTCTTGAGGGCGTGTCCTATGATTCCATAATTATTTGGTAGGGTCTACTTCAGCTACAAAGCACGCTTGGGACACGCCCTGAGTGCGCACCTCTGAGTGCACACTTCCCTCAAACTTGGTCTGCAGCGCATTTGCACAAGGCTAGAGCAGCTATGATTTTCACACCCGAACCGAAAAGCCCAGCGTGCTTTTATCCGAAAAGCCCAGCGTGCTTTTATCGCGAGATGCACTCACAAGAGCACACAGATCCGCGAGGCAAAGGACCAATCAGGCGACACCAGCAGCAGCGCCGTCCCGTCCATCCATGCCTCCAACCAACCACCTGCAGCAAAAACGGCTTGGCTCGGCTTTCCGTCTCACTTGAGCGCGACTGCTGCAGCAGCCGAACCAACCAGGCTGCAAACCACCCCTTCCCCCCTCCTCCCTCTCTCCCCCTTCCCCCCTTTCTCTCCTCCCCCTCCCCCCACCCCACCCTTCACCCACTCACCGTGCGCCTAGGAGTGCTTCACCTGCCATTGCCATCGCTAGCCCACAACCATTCTTGCGTCTCAGTGAACCTGCTAGATCTGCTGCTGCTGGCGCTCACTCCCGCTGCCTTTCACTGCTGGACGATCGAGGTAGCAGAGAGACCTGACAGAGCACAACTGACACACCACTCGGGGAACTTCCACCATTAGGGCCAGGCTGGTTGTAGGGTACCATTCGGACTCGTGCGATTCGGCCACCAATGGAATTGACTCGGGGACGCCAAGCGCGATCCAGATCTGTGACCTAGACGGCAATTGCTGGTCGCTGAGGTGAGGTACGCGTCCACGTCGATCAGGACGGTCAATAGGCTACCAATTGTCGCGTCGTGGGGACTCTCCTAACCTCTGCGTGCATGTTTCGTCATTTCTGACCGCGTATTTCGCTTGGTCTGCAAAGTCGTTCGCCGAATGGATCACATGGCCAATCTCGCCACCCCGGCAGTCGAAATCAGGGCCGTCATCTGTGCGGATCACGCGGAGCATCTTTACGGCGCTTTCGTCCGCATGCACTCGCTTGACCTCCCGTCGTCTCCTTGTCCCGCTCTCCATGCGCCTTTCTCTCCCTGGTCGCGAGGCCACAAACAGCCTTCGTCTGCCCCTGCCGTCCCGTCGCCGCCCTGCCTGTGTGTCCCAGGTCGCGCCACCCGGTGTTTCTCCGAGAACGGCGGGGCCTGGCGGCGCCGTGCGGTCGCCGTGGTGTGTAGCGGCGGGTAATAGGGACCGTGCCGAATCGTCGCGTTGGCGCGCAGCCTGCAGGCACCAGGCAACGGGCAACGGGCAACGGGCAACGGGCAACGGGCAACGGGCAACGGGCAACGGGCAACGGGCAGCAGGCGACGAGCAGCGCGCAACGGGCGGCAGCCTTTCGGGTGGTGGTGGACGGTCGGTGGGGCAGCATGGGGCAGGCGTTCCGAAAGCTGTTCGACTCGCTGTTCGGGAATCGAGAGATGCGGGTGAGCGGGAGGGATGCGGGTGAGCGGGAGGGATGCGGGTGAGCGGGAGGGATGCGGGTGATGGGGGGTTCAAGTAGCACTAAATTATGAATGAAGGGCAATCAATGAGCGGAGCCATAAATGAAGAAGGTGATGCACTGATGAGTTGGGTCCGGCTCCATCTGAGCTGCGCTGTCGCTCGAGCCTCGTTCACCGCCTGCTCTTCCTCTTTCAGTAGTCTCATTTGACCGTGCTTCGCTGACGCCTGAGAGCCATCTCAAGATAGCAGCCGGTGGCGTACGGCGTCGCCCGTGCTTGCGAATCATGTGCAGCGCGCTGACAAGCACCGCCCCGCGCGTCTCGTCTCTCTCTAACCCACATGTCGGCATCACGCCGAGCAGTACGGTTATTGCCGGAGCGGTCGCGAAGACAGGCCATGGCAGTTGGCCCGCAGATTCCACGCCGCTCCTCGTCTCCATCCTCGTCCGAGCCTCCCTCCATTCCTCCCTCCCTCCCTCCCTCCATTCCTCCCTCCCTCCCTCCCTCCCTCCCTCCCTCCCTCCCTCCCTCCCTCCCTCCCTCCCGCCTCCCTCGCCCGTTCTCCCCAACCCCATGTCCGTCCGCGCGCAGGTGCTGATGCTGGGGCTGGACGCGGCGGGCAAGACGACCATTCTGTACAAGCTGCACATCGGAGAGATCCTCTCCACCGTCCCCACCATAGGTGCGCGCCGTCCTTATTATAAATAGCGTGCCAGTGGCCAGGTGGTGGTATGCGGCTCCAACTTAACCCGTCGTTTGCCCGCTCCTGCTTTCTTGCGTGGTGTGCTGCGTGGTGTGCTGCGTGGTGGCTGTGTGTGCGCGCATGGCTACCAGGGTTCAACGTGGAGAAGGTGCAGTACAAGAACGTGCAGTTCACGGTGTGGGACGTGGGCGGCCAGGAGAAGCTGCGCCCCATGTGGCGCAACTACTTCAACAACACCGACGCGCTCGTAAGCCCTCGCCGGCTCGCCCCTGCTGCCCATGCGTGCTGTGCTGCCCCTGCGTGCCCTGCTGCCCCTGCGCGCTGTGCTGCCCCTGCGTGCACTGCTGCCCCCGCGAGGCCTCTTGATGCACTCCGTTCCGAGCATCCTTCTTCCATTGTGCATGGTTGCCCGCTCCCTGCATGTGGCTGTGTTTTTCCGTTTGTACCTGTCTGCGATCATGCTCGTGTGCCATCTGCTGCTTCCTGACTCTTCGTTTGTGTGCGTGCATGTCTATGCGTGCATGGCTATGTGTGCATGTCTATGTGTGCATGTCTATGCGTGCATGTCTATGTGTGCATGTGTATGCGTGCATGTCTGTGTGCATGTCTATGCGTGCATGTCTATGTGTGCATGTCTATGCGTGCATGTCTATGTGTGCATGTCTATGCGTGCATGTGTATGTGTGCATGTGTATGTTCACGTGTACGTGCATATGCATGCGCGCATGTACGGCCATCAGATCTACGTGGTGGATTCACTAGACCGGGAGCGAGTGCGGCAAGCAGCGCAGGAGTTCCAGGTCAGCCCGCACACTCTTCCGTGTGCCACACAGCACCGCACTCTCTCATCTCTGCCTGCCACTCGCAGCTATCCCACAACCATCCGCACATCCATAACGTATATTCCTTGCACCTCTGTCCTCTCTTACGTCTCATCCCACACCCTGCTTCCATCATTGGCCCCTTCCGTCTTCCCGTTCTCCTTAATTCTTTATCCTCCCTCACTTGTAGCTCCTCCCGTCTTCCTTCCCCTCTGCTCCCCGCCCATCGCTCCCCATCCCTCCACTCCCCCGGTACCCGTGCAGAGCATAGTGAATGACCCCCTCATGCGCAACAGCGCCCTCCTCGTCTTCGCCAACAAGCAAGACCTCGTCAGTGCCGCCTCTCTCCCTCTCCCTCTCTCTCTCTCCCTCTCCCTCTCTCCCTCTCCCTCCCTTCCTCTCTCCTTCCCTCCCTCCCCCTCTCTCCCTCTCCCTTCCTCCCTCTCCCTCCCTCCCTTTCCCCCACTCCCTCTCCCTCACTCTCTGTCCCTCACTCCGTCAATCTCACTCCCTCTCTCTCACTCCCTCTCCCTCACTCCCTCCCCCTCACTCCCTGTCCCTCCGCCCTAGCTGCGTCTGTGCCGCATGTGTACATGCATAGCAATCCTCCGTGTCCCTTCCGCCGCCCCTGCACCCCCTGGCTCGTATGTCCTTCTCGATCATCATATCCTCATTTTCCATGTCCAAACCACCCATGTGCATGTGGTGTGTTATGTGTGTTTTCTTCTTCCTTCGCGTCTCGCTTTCCCGTCCCTTGAGCTTGCCTCTCCTCCCTTGCCTCATCCATTCCTCATCTCCACCCACGCGTACCCCTCTCTACTCCCCCCCCCCCCCAACGTTTCCTCCTCCCCACCCCGGCCCCCTTCCTCGTCCCACCCGTGCCACTCCCCTCCCCACCCCCCCTCTCAGAAGGGCGCCATGTCCCCGTTGGAAGTGTGTGAGATCATGGGGCTGCAGCAGCTGCGCAACCGCTACTGGCACATCCAGGGCACCAGCGCGCCCAAGGGCGAGGGGCTCTTTGAGGGGCTGGACTGGCTCGCTTCCACGCTCAAGACCATGCAGGCCAAGGGGCTGCCCACCTCCGTCGCCGCTCCCACTGCTGGCGCCGCGTGAGGAGGGTGGAGGGGTGGAGAGCAGTGGGAAGGGGTGAGGGAGGAGGTTGACGAGGCTGAGTGGAGGGGGGATGGTGGAGGGTTGTGGAGAAATGATGGTGGAAGATCGGGAGGGGGTGAAGGGGGTGGTTGGTCTAGGGTGTGTGGAGGATGGGCATGCGGACCAAGGGGGAGTGGCTCAGCATTGAGAAGCATGGAGATGGCAGGGAGGAGGTGGTGCATGGTGCTGCTCGTGATGGGCTGGCAAGGCAATGCTCCTCTGAGTGAGAACAACCTCTGGCCGTTACCCTTGCTGACGGGGGGTTGGCCTTAACAATTGTTAATACGGTAGGGTTCAATGTGCAGAGCTACGTTCTGCATGAGGGAGCTTGGGCCCAAGTGTGAGAAGTGTAGGAGCTGCCTAGTGTATATCTCAGGAGGACCTTTCTGGAGGGTAGGGTGGCTTACCACAGTTTTATTCCAGTGGTACTGTGGCGTTTTGAACAAGGTACTTAGACATACCGGTAGTGCAGTGGTAGAGAGTGCGAGGACGATCTGAATTCACAGGGAGCGTTTTCACCTTTACTTGGCCACCCACCCAGCCAAACCTGGGTATGTGGTGCTTGCTGTCATGGCCAGCAATGGATGGGACGAGGGGGGGCGAGGGGGGCAGCAGGGTGGCGAAGAAGCCAAGGCATAGGTACAGGGTGTATGTTTGTCAGACTGCAGTTGTAAGGATTTCACGAATACTTACTAGGTTTCGCCACGGCGAGTACTGCTTGTCAAACATATAAATCGAGAAAGCTTGCTTTCTTGTCCTTTGCAATAGGCATCGTTCTCATTTCAAGTGGGCTAGGTACAATACTCGCTTACTAGCTTATTAGAATCTAAACATGCACACATCATGATCCTAGTTGTGCGCTCCCGTTCGAGTGACCGGCTGTCCATTGGAGATGCGCGGTTATCCAGAGGGGGGGGTGGGTGGGAAAGTTGACTGAGCCATTTGAAAAATGAGAGACGTGGGTGGAGGTAAATGAGCTCCAACCCACGTATTGTTAAGAACTTAGGATGCTAGGTCCCTAAAGTTAGGACACTAGCTTAGCTAGGATAGGAGCAAGGCCGCCATGGAACGGCGCTAGGAAAAACGGATCTAGGAGTAGGAGGAAAGTCGAGAAGAAAGAGGGTTGGATTAGGAAGAGAAGGGAGTACAAGGAGGGGTTTGTACCCCCTACAGAAAGGTTCAGTAGCAACCTACCAAGCCTATATAAAATTATAACTTATATAATTTTAACACACCCCCTAGGCTTGGTAGTGTCAAGCCCACTCACACCCCCACACCCGCACCCAACCCACCCCCTAACCCCGCACACCCTCAGGCTCGTGCTTAGCCGGGTATCTGACCCTCAGGCAAAGCGTTGACACACCCCCGTACACGAGGCAGCCGACGGCGTCTAGGCGGGTCAGCGACAAGCAGCCGCGGAGCTCTGGCTCAAGGCGGCTGGGTCGCCGACGACAGGCGGCGACTGCCGCGGCTGAGGGCTTTCGGCGATGTGGCAACGTCCGGGCAGAAGACAGCAGCTGCGACAGGAGGAAGGGAAGACGCAGGGGGAAGGTGTTAACGTAGAAACGAATGATTACTAGAGGTGGAAACCTAGAACAAATACTAGTTGGTTGTACTCACTAGAAGCATACCTCAGTCTAGCCTATAACTTCTACATAGATAATATGTATAAGTTGACACACCCCCTAGGCTAGACAAGGGGTGAAACTAAACAAGAAGCAAACAGCTCAGGGCGGCACTACTAGTCCAACCACTGAGGCAGGGGTCTGGAGACCAGTCAGCAAGAATACAACCAAAACTGAAGCAAGCCAGGGTGGCACTACTAGTCCAGCCACTGGAGGTAAGGCCACAAGGCCAGTCTGACAAGCATATATAATAGAGAGTACACAATCAGGATCCTAACAGGGGAGCAGCTATAGGAACAAGACCAAGCTGTACACAGTGCCGCTGATGATCTTTAGGCGCAAGCGCCTTAGTAAAGATATCAGCTGTGTTGGCACCTGAGGCCAAGTGAACTACGCGGGCCTGGCGGCGCTGCTGTAGCTCGCGCAGGAGGAAGTACCGCAGCTGGATATGCTTCGCTCTGCCCTCAAGCCGAGGCTCCTGACACAGGAGTATCATGGCCCTGTTGTCAGCGTACAGGACCGGGGCAGAGCTAGGCCGCTCACCTAAGTCTGTGAGCAAGAAGGTCAGCCAGCGGAGCTCCTGTGCCGCCATGGCACCAGCGTAGATCTCAGCCTCACAGCTAGACTGAGCCACAGACGACGAGCGAGTGGATCTCCAAGAGATAGCACCCGAACCAAGGCTGAAACAGTAGCCCTGCGACGACCTGAGCGTCTCAGCGTCGTCTGCCCAAGAAGCGTCTGTGTGCCCAGTAAGGACCACTGGCCTGCGTCCTCCTAGCACTAACCCCATGCCTGATGTACTAGCAAGATAACGCAAAACCCTCTTAGCGGCAGACCAGTGCTGAGGTCGGTGTCTGCCTGTAGCCACAAAGCGAGCCAGGATGCTGAGAGGGTATGCGAGATCTGGGCGAGTGCAAGTCATCAGGTACATGAGGCAACCCACCAGCTCTGCGTAGGGGCCACTGGGCTCTACTGGCTCCTCAGGAACGGGAGCAGAGAGCCCATGGTCTACGGGTAGAGGTGTGGGCTGTGCGGAGGAGAACTGAAGACCGAACCTCTGAAGGACCTGACGCACCAAGTGTGACTGGGTCAGAGTGATGGTGCGTGCTGCTCTGTCCCTAGAGATCTGCAGGCCAAGATAGCGACGCAGCTCTCCAAGGTCAGTGCAGGTGTGTCTCTTCAGCAGCTCAGCCTTCACAGAGGCCAGTGCGTCCCTGTCAGGAGTAGCGAAGACCAGGTCGTCTACGTAGACAAGGATGTAGAACGGAGTCTGGCCGGAACGCACAAACAGTGAAGGGTCAGCAGAGGACGGAAAGAACTGCAGGTCTGCTAACGTGGCACGTAGCGTGTCGTGCCACTCGCGGGGAGCCTGACGCAGGCCGTAGACCGGGCGCCTGAGAAGCCACTGGGTCCCAGGAGGGAAGGTACCAGTGAAGCCCTGTGGTCGGCGCAGGTAGACCTGCTCGTGTAGGCTGCCCTGAAGAAAGGCAGTAGAGAAGTCGAGAGAGTGAAGCTCGTAGTCACGCTGTGCTGCTACGTGTAGCAGCGCCCGAAGAGTGGTCATCTTCGGGGTCGGGGCGAAGGTCTGGAAGAAGTCAACCCCCTCGCGCTGACTGAAACCTCTGGCCACGTAGCGCGCCTTGAAGACAGGCGGCTCTCCAGGGGGGCGCTTCACCTTGAAGAGCCACCGACCATCGACTACGTTCACCCCAGGCGGGGGAACTGCGTCGACGTAAGTGCCGGTGGATCTCCAAGATGCCATCTCCTGCTCCATGGCAGCTATCCACTGAGAGGCCCAAGGTCCCGAGGTGGCCTCAGCGTAGGTGCGAGGGGTCGGGATGTCGAAGGCGTCTGGGTCACCCTCAGGGACTAACAGCATGGAGCAGAGATGGGGAGCAGCCTCGGAAAGGAAAGCCAGCTCGTACTGCCTGTCCTCTAGGACGTCACTGCCAAGGGCAGGAGCACCCCCGACGGACAGAGGACGGGCAGGGTCAGAGACCAGAGCGGTAGCGTAGTCAAGGCGGCGGGTAGAAGCGAAGTCAGCGACAGCAGCGACAAGCGCGTCAAGGCGCGAGACAGGAACAGCAGGGTCGGTAACAAGAGAGGCAAGGACCCGAGGGACAAGGGGACGAGCAGCACGGAGGTAGTCAGAGAACGGAGGAGGTGCAACAGCAAGGGACGAGGGAGGAGGGGACGGGAGGAGGGGAGGACGAGACGAGTGGGAACGGAGCAACATAGGGTGGGTGGGCAGGACAGGAGAGACGGGACGAGCACGGGAGGGACGGCGAGCCCAAACGTGAGACGGAGGGGTAGGGTCAGGGGACAGCGGAGGAGACACAGGAGGGGAACGAGGAGGAAGACGGGCCGGAGACGAGTCTGGCGGCGGGAACACAGGACCGTAGACAGGGAGGTCAGGAGGCGGTGGGGGAGACACCGGCGCGCGGTCCGGGGAGGGAAGGCCGAGCAGGCGGAGAGTGGAAACCGGCGGCGACGGCTGCTGTGGCGGCGACGACGGCTGGGCCGGAACTCTCGGACCAGCAGAGGCAGAACGACCGTCGGCAGAACACTCAACAGCAGCACCCCCAGAACCAACACCCCAAGAGCGAGAACCCCCTCCAACACCAGCGGCACCCCCAGAAGCCGCAGGACGAACACCCTCCTCCACACCAGCACCCCCAGGGGCCGAGAGCAGCGGCGGCAGTGGCGGCGACAGCGGCGACGGCTGCGGCGGCGACGGCGACGGCGGCGGCAGCGGGGTCGGCGACTGCGACAGTGGGGGCGGAGGCACTGGGGAAGGGGGACGCGGCAAGGACGGACCGGGGGTACCACCAGAGTCAGCAGACTCCTCAACGGGGACAACCGACGGGAGGGGAGTGACGTGGGAGACACCAGACGGGGCAGGACGAGGCGGGAGAGGGGCAGGGGCTACCGGGGGAGAGGGAGCAAGGAAAAGGGGGGGGCAACTGGGAGACCTCGGTGAGGGAAGCGGCGGTAGAAGGAGACGGACTCGTCAAAGGTGACGTCACGAGAGTGGAGGAAGCGGTGAGACGGCGGGTGGTAGAAAAGCCAGTCAGACGAGTCCAGGGGGAAACCGAGGAAGACACAGGGGACAGTGCGGGCAGTGAGCTTGTCCGTGCCAGAGGCACGAACGTGAGCAAGGCAGCCCCGGACGTGGAACGCAGACGCGTCACCGGGGGACCCGGTCCAAAGGAGGGTCGGCGAAACCTGCGGCCGCTGGGAGCGTGGCCACAGGTTAAGCTGGTGAGCGGCGTAGCGAACAGCGAACGGCCACAGAAAATGGGGGGCATCGGCATGGATCATGGAGGTACGGGCGACCTCCATGACCAAGCCGATGCGGCGCTCAGCAACCCCATTCTGCTGTGGCGAGTCCGGCAACGTGTACGACTGGGTGATGCCCTCCGCACGACAGAACTGTCCAAGCCGACCAGAGGCGAACTCGCCGCCACGGTCGGAGTGGAGACACAACACGGGGAGACCGCGGTAGAGACGCGCAGCTACAACCCACGGGAGAAGAACGTCGGGCACGTCGGCCTTCCGCTCCAGGGGAAACACCGTGGTGTAGCGCGTGTAGTCGTCAACGAGCACAAGGAAGTAGCGCTCACCGCGCGGTCCGGGGACGGGGGCAGGGCCCCAAACGTCCAAGTGCAGGGTCTGAAGGGGGGCAGTAGCAGGACGCAGCGAGGAGGAGTGAGGAGCACGGCGGAGCCGACCCTCGACGCAAGGCGTGCACGGTGGCGCAGTCGAGGGAGGAAGGGCAGGGAGCGACGCGGGGAGACCTAAGACAAGACCGTGCTGGGACATGTGACGCAGACGCGGGAGAGCAGGGTGACCTAAGCGGTGGTGCCAGAGAAGGGAGGGGTGAGTGAGGGACCGACACGAGCAAGCTGCAGCGACCTGGGAGGACGCACCAACCGGGGGGGAAGCGGTGTGTAGGGTAAACAGACCGGACACCGGGTCCCGGGGGAACGTCGCAAGGGGGGAACCTGAGACAGCCTCAGAACAGACAGCGAACCGCTCGTGCCCGGGGAACGTGGTGGTGACGCCGAGGTCCTGGAGACAGCCGACACCAACCAGGTTCCTGGAGAACGAGGGAACGTGGAGG